GGAAGGGAGAAGGGGGGGGGGGATGACCGACCACGACGCGGACGAGTAGTGTTTGGAAAAGGACTCGGAATGAAGGCATTAGCGTCATCGCGCTCAGGCGCTGTGGCGGCGCTGTGGCCCTGCAGGCGTGATTTATGTGGGGGGATCAGAGCGCTATTTGAAGAGTTCCGGCCGCTTCATTAAATCATCGTTGCATTTGCCCGCCCTTCACTTATTCTCTTCACCGTTCCCTCCAGAGGTTCCCTCCAGAGGTTCCCTCCGCCGCCCGGTGGTGGTGCGTCCGGGCCTGGCTGGTGGACGCGCGGCGCGGAGGCGGTGCGGGCGTGAGAGAGTCTGAGAGGGGCGCGGCGGGGGCGATCAGGTTCGAGTCAGGAGTTGTAGTTCTGCGACTGCATTGCGAGCAAGGCCGGTAGTGGTAATGGTGGTGGTTCCTGTTTCGTTGTCTTTGGGGAAAATGGTGAGAGCAGTTGCCACGGTGGCGTCGGGGGACGCGAAGCAAACAGCACGTGCTTGGGGCGGAGGAGGACCCCACCGCGGGGGACCCTGGTGGTGATAATGAGCTGGCAAGCAAAGGGGCTCCCCCCGCTACTGCCCCCCCCCCCACCTTCTCTCTCGCACTTCACCCCCGGGCCACCCCGGACACGTGCGGGTGTGGGGCGGAGGACCACTTCACCTGTTTCTCCAACGCCCTCTAATTCAGATGACGAGAAACAACAACAGCAGCAGCAGGCTTGTTAAGTGTGGTTGTTGTCGTGTTGCAGGTCCGGGTCGCTGGCGGGCGGGGGCGCGGGCGCGCTCGCCTACGAGGAGGCCGGGCTGGCGGGCGCGCTGCTGTGCCGCACGCTGGCGGGCCTGAGCCGCGACCAGCAGGCGCTGTGCCGCCGCCAGCCCGACGCGACGTGGACGGCGCTGCAGGGCCTCCGCGTCGCGTCCAACGAGTGCCAGCAGCAGTTCAAGAGCCAGCGCTGGAACTGCTCGACGCTGTCGCCCCGCGGCCTGGCCGGGCTGGCGGGCAACCCTCAGGGCGCCGCCCTCATGCAGGCAGGTGAGTCGCTCCCCCCGGGACCCCGGGCTAGGGCAACCAGGCCCGGCGCAGCGAGTAACGGCCGCGTCCTCGCGGCTCGACTTTCTTCATCGCGACCTGAACGCGGCCCGCGGAACGGAGCCCGCGGAGCCCCGCCGCGCGCCGGTGGGGTCCCCCGCGTCCGCGGCGCGATGCATGACAAGAGTCGACATGGGTTTGACGTGACATGACAGGACATGACGGCCACCAGCGGGGCAAGTATGACGGGTTGTGACAGCGGCGAGTGCGTGCCCCGAGTGCGCAACGCGGCAGCGGGGCGGGGCGGGGCGGGGCGGGGCGGGGCGGGGCGGGGACGCCTCCCTGACCCGCCGCAACGAGCCGTCGATATCGGGCCGGGCGGGCGTCCCTCTCCGATACGTAACCCGTCCTCCGCGGGCCGCGGGAGAGTTCCCTCCTGATCCGCTCCACCTCCGCGTCCTCCGCTCAGCCATCCGTCGGTCGCGATTGGGTCGGTTCCCACGGCCCGCGCGACGGGGTGGGCCTCGCCCCGTCGCCGGACGGCCACACCTGCTCGCCCAGGAGGACCATCGCGTCCGGGAGGATCAAGCGCGCGCTCTGCATGGAGGAGGCGCCGCACGGCGCAGCCCCACGTCGACGAGCAGCCCCCCGCCGGTCCGGGACAGCCGCCCGCAGCGCGGAGCAGCGCGGAGCAGCCGTCTGCTGCTGCAACACAACGTTACATGTTTTTTCCCGCGCGGACGTGTGGAATCGCGCGAACTTTTTTGCCGAGCCGCGTCCCGGCACAGATGGCCGCCGCCGCCGCCGCCGCGGGCCGACGCGCTTCCCATACCCAACGGGGTCGAACAATGATTGGCCCTGCCCGACCAGGTGGCCGACTAGCGCCGCGCACTTTCGTAGTTACACTGTACCGCGTGCACGCGTGCGGGCGGGTAGCCTACTCGCACGGGGCTCTAAGGTAAAGAGCCGTGGCCAGCGAGGATAGGACAGATAGGGCAGGCCTGCGCGGCGTGATTCAGCCACATAGTACCATGCCGCACATTACAGTACGTGTGTGGGCGGCAACTCCGAGCATGACGCCGAGTGAACAGGCAACCCGACCGCACGAGTGCCTGCGGTGGAGCATACCTGTCAGGTGGCTGATTAACCCAGCTCGCTCACTTCTGTAGTTATGCTGTACCGCACGCACCAGTGCGGGCGGGCTTGCCTATCGCCCCTGTCCACGGCGCCTTACGGGCCGAGCGAGTAGGCAACCCGCCCGCACGCACTCGTGCGTGCGGTACGGCATAACTACAGAAGTGAGCGGGGTTCAGCCACCTGGTATGTGGAAGTGGGTGGTTCCCGTCAGGCGTCTATCACTGCGGGCACACGAGTTTTTACCCTTTATCATTGTTTAGGACTGATCACCTTCCTATTTCTGTCTCCCCGCAGGCTTTCGGGAGTCGGCGTTCGCGCACGCCATCTCGGCGGCGGGCGTGACCCACGCCATCTCGCGGGCGTGCGCGCGGGGCCAGCTGCTGGACTGCGGCTGCGACCACTCTGAGGTGTCCGACAGGTGGGTGAGGTGACGGCCGCTCTCGCAGAGCTCCTGCGTTGAGGTCCCCGCCAGAGTTGCAAGCGGTCGCAAGCGTTCAGCGCCTCAGTGAAGGTCTCTCTTGCCTGTTGCAGCGGTCGCCTGTCCTGGGTCGGCGCCCGCGCCCTGGGCACCGGCGCCCCCGCCGCCAACGCGCCCGGCGCCAGGAACTTTCCCGCGGCGCGCTGGAAGTGGAGCGGCTGCTCGCACAACGTCTTCTTCGGCGGCGACTTCGCCAAGGCGTTCCTGGACGGCAGGCGGCCCGCCACCGACATCCAGGCGCGCGTCAACCAACACAACAGCCGCGCCGGCAGACTGGTGAGGAAGGCGGCGGTCTTGGTGGAGCCGAGCGGAGCGGAGTGCAGCTGAATTCCTTCTCCTCGTTGATTAATTTTCCCAATCGCCGGACTAAAGAGGCCGGCTCACCTCCCAAAGTGGTCCGCGCCCGCGGCGGCCTGCAGGCGTGCGTGTGGCTAACGGCCCGGGGGGCGAATTTCAACAGCTGAGGTGCGATCTCGTCCCGGGTGGTCTCTCTCCCACTCTCCCCCCCCCCCCACACACACACACACCTCTGGTACCGCCCCTTCCGGGCCGGGCCGGCAGCAGCACGCCCCCGACCTTAATCCGTGACCGAAAATTCGGAGTATAATGGCGATAAAACAACAACGGTGTCGCTTCTCCGGAGAACAACTTGCCCATACCTCCATTTACGGCGCAGAGGGTGTTTTTCACGCCCCCGGAGGTGTCAGTGGCGCCCCGCACCCTGCCGCACCGCGCGCACGAGCGTGTGCAGGCGGCCTGTCGTGGACCCCGACAACACAACCCCTAATTACTTCAGGGGGCGTGTGTCCACCCACGGCGCGCCGGCGAGGCGGGCGGGCCTTGGGGCGGCCTTTTTAGGCGGCCCGGTCGCAATCATGATTTACTTTTCCTCCGCCGGGACGGGGATACAGAGGTGTGTGGGGCATCTGGCTGGCCCGCGCGCCGCCCCGTCCCGGGACCGCCTTCTCCTCTCTGACGTGCCGGGGTTGGGCCGATACGAGCGCGACGCGCCTCGAAAGCCACACACATAGCCATAGCTAATTGATCCCGCCCGGGGGCCCGCCCCGCCCCGCCCCGCCCCGGCAAAGCACTGACGTTTTTATAGCGGCCGAGCATAGAGGGCGGCCCCGGCAGGCCGGCCCCAAGC